TCAATCAAAATTTTCTTCCCTTGTTTACACTTTAAAAATGTGCGTAAAGCAATTACAATTGGCAGGGATCCTTCATCTCTGATAGAGCTCTACACTCTTAAAAATAAAGGTGCTTCAAAAGGTTCTTCAAGCGATGCCATAGAAGAACCATTTTTGGTTCCACAAAGAACCATTCTGTCAAAGGTTCTTTAAAGAACCATCTCTTTCTTACCTTTTTATAATCTGAAGAACCTTCTTTTGCCACAAAGGACCTTTTGTGAAACAGAAAGGTTCTTCTGATGCTAAAGGTTCTTTATGTAACCATTTAGACAAAAAGGTTCTTCTATGGCATCGTGAAGCACCTTTATTTTTAAGAGTGTATGTTCGAGTTGAATTAACCCTGCCGAGTTTGCTGTGTGTGTTAGAGCATGGTTTGAACTCAACCCTACAGGAGGATAGATCTCCACGAGCAGGATTCAGCATCACTGCAAAAAGTCTGCTGTCTAGAACTATTGTATGAGCTCTTTTTATGGTCCCCATAAACGTCATTGAAAGTGTCATCATAAGTTTTAGGAGATGCATAACCATGTGGGAAAACTATTGTGTTTGTTAAAAGAACAATTAAAGTTGACTTACAGCAAAAGTCAAGCAAGCTCATAAACCTGACCTTTAAAACCGAGAACAATCATCTGCTTATCACACGCAAACGATTCAACACAGCAGCAGCAAGTAGTCTAACTTTTGTCCTCTCATTGCTCACGTTACATGTGGAAGAGTTAAACATTCATTATTCTCTACATATGTTACATTGATACATTATATATATATACTGTATATGAGTTGTGGTCAGAATTTTACATACACTTTGCAGTATCTGCAAAATGTTAATTATTTTACCAAAATAAGAGGGACCTACATAATGCATGTTATTTTTTATTTAGTATTATCCTGAATAAGATAGTTCACATAAAAGACTGTTACATATAGTCCACAAGAGAAAATAATAGTTACATTTATGAAAATTACCCCCTTCAAAAGTTTACATACGCTTGAGTCTTAATACTGTGTTGTAACTTGGATGATCCACGGCTGTTTTTTTTTTTTTTTTTTGTGATAGTTGTTCACGAGTCTCTTCTTTGTCCTGAACAGTTAAACTGACCGCTGTTCTTCAGAAAAACCCTTCAGGTCCCACAAATTCTTTGGTTTTCCAGCATCTTTTGCATAATTGAACCCTTTACAACAATTACTATAATTTTGAGATCCATCTTTTCACACTGAGAACAACTGAGGGACTTGCATGCAACTATTACAAAAGGTTCAAACGGTCACTGATGCTCCAGAAGGAAAAACAATGCTTTAAGAGCCAGGGGTGTAAACTTTTGAACAGAATGAAGATGTGTACATTTTTTCTATTTTGCCTATATATCTTTTTTATTTTATTTAGTACTGCCCTTCAGAAGCTACAGAAGATACTTACTTGTTTCTCAGAAGACAAAATACGTTTTTAAAGTTTAATTTACCCTGATCTTCAATTTCAAAAAATTTTCACCTCCAGGCTCTTAATGCATTGTTTTTCCTTTCCGGAGTATTAGTGATCATTTGATCTCTCTCTCTCTCTCTCTCTCTATATATATATATATATATATACTGTATATATTCAGTGAAAAAAGCAAAGAAATCAAATTGTCAATGATGTATCTTAATGTATCATATATTTATGTATGTGTATGTAGAGATAAACAATGGCACCTGTCAAGGGGTGGGATTTATTTATTGAATTTCAAGAAGCAAGTATTTGGAAGCAGGGAAAATGGGCAAACAAAAAGATCTGAGTGGTTCTGACAAAATCCAAAAATTGATGGTTAGACGACTGGGTTAGAGCATCTACAAAATGGCAACTCATGTGGGGTGTTCCCGGTATGTTGTTAGCTACCAAAACTGGTGCAAGGAAGGACAGCCGGTAAACCAGCATCAGGGTCATGGACGCTCACTGATGCACATGGGGAACAAAGGCTGTCCCACCTGGTCTGATCACACAGGTGAGCTATCGTAGCTCAAATTGCTGAAAAACCTAAGGCTGGCTATGACAGAAAGGTGTAAGAAAGGCATTGCATTTGCAGACCGGCCAGAGTGCCCATGATGACCCCCGTTCACCATTTGAAGTGGCTACAAGGGGCACGTGAGGGTCAGAACTGGACCATGGAGCAATGGAAGAAGCTTTCGAATCATGTTTAGATCAAGAGTATGGCTGGGTATGTGTGTTGTTTACCTAGGAGATGGCAACAGGATGAAAAGGCAGCAGATTGGCAGATACGGTGGATTGCTCTGCTCCTGGGAAACCTTGAATCCTGGCATTCATGTGGATGTTACTTTGACACATACCACCTACATAAAGATTGCTGCAGACCATGTACACCCCTAATGGCAATGGTGTTTCCTGATTGTGTATATTCCTCTTTCAGCAGAATATACACATATATTTGAATTCACTGCATTTGATAATTTAATTCTACAGAATTTACAAAGCCATGTATTGCATCATACCTGCTTCCTTTTACTGGGAAACGATTTGGGAATCAAGGTTTAAACTTCCAAGATACGGTTTGCCATTTTGCCTATTTCCTGTACTATTCACTCAAAATATCTTAGTCTCACGTCAATAAAATAAGTTAATCACTTATAGGTCTTTGTACAGTAGGATAATGACAGTTATCTGGCTATTAATGCTGTTAATGCTTAAAATCAATAGGCTCTGCCTCTGTGTTTTCCAGAGCTATTTCACAATAATCTGAATACTTACTGTCAAATCTGAAAGTTTTAGTTATTGCCACATGAACTTCAGCCTCTGGTGTGTCATATTTTGTTAACATCATCTTTTTTACAGAGATGGCTAATTTTTCCTTCTAAGTCATTAAACATCAATGAAATATTTGCATGTCATATGACGTTTTATTTAAACTTGTCAAAGACATTTGATCTTTTCTGCGATATTCATCAATGACTAAATCCTATATCTTGTGAATGTTGACACTCTTAATCTAAGACATTGGCTAGGTGGGTGGCAGGAATATAATGCAATATTTATTATAGTAATCTTTTTTAATATATTGTTTTAATATATCATGCATTATACGTTGAACACAATGGTTCTCTTTTTTTCAGCCAGGGGCAGTGAAGGTGTGCACCATTTACAATTTAATCATGTCATAATGAATTTTTCTTCACTTTATTTTTATTTACCTTTGTGGTTACATGCAAAATGTGTTCTCACTTTTCATCTGCACTTTGTTTAAGTCTCACATGCTTTTCAGTGCTCATGTGAATCTTGTATAAGAAGTGTGAATGACAAATAAACAATTTTAACCACTAAACAAATTTAACCATCAAGTGAGGTTTCATTTGGTGACTGTGAACGTGTTGATCTGTAAGCCAGCAGATATATATGAGGATGTCTGACGTAGTGAGCCAGATAACGAGACAAGGGATAATGGCAGTACTGTCAACAGCTTCTTCAGTTGTTCATTTAATCACTGTACCCAGTAGTTCCCCTTTTCCCTCTTTTGATAGTGAACTCTGAATTCCAAAACATATTACTAAAACCTTTTGAGTAACCTATTAAAATCCACTAAAACTATCTGTTATTAATAGCTCACACTGTAAAAAAAATCCGTAAAATTTACGGTAAAAAACCGGCAGCTGTGGTTACCGGAATTTTACCATAAAAAATACGGTAGCAACGTTTTAGGTTTTACGGTTTTAACTTAAATTTACAGTCAAATACCGTAATTTCATTAACTGATAAAATGTTATTATATACCAACCTATTGAAGCACTGACATCTGTTTTGTACCTTTGTAATACACTGATAACCACCAAATGCAGGTGGTGATGAGAAAGTCACATGATGAACAAAAGCCCATCACAAGTAGCTTTTAAATAATAACATATATAGAAGGTGCGCCGTGTCATTCACACAAACACCAAACACCATCATGGTAACACACATGAAACTGAAATAATGCAATAATCATTAATTTAACAACATTGGGTGTAACACTCAACCCTAATATACAAAACTGATAAGAAAAAACTAAGAAGAAACATAGTTATTTCAACAAAAAAACATCAAATTTGAAATGTAATGCAGGGAATTCTGGGAATGTCAATTTACGGTTATTCACTGTAAATTATACGGCCTATTTCACTTCCAAAAACGGTACACTACTGTAAAATTAACGTCCAATACATGTAATGTCCAATACAGTTTTTCACCGTATATAGTAGGGGAATTTACCGTTAACCATTTAACAGGTTTTTACTGTAGCACTTTTACAGTCTTTTACCGTTAAATTCACGGTCATTTTTTACAGTGCAGGTTAACATCTGAAAGTGTTCAGTCACTGCTTGTTTTATTTGTAACCTAAAAGCACTCCGTTTTTCAAAGTATTTCAAATAAATGCAGTTCTTTTGAACTTTCTAGTCGTCACAAATCATGAAAATTAGGTTTCCATAAAATTATTAAGCAGCACAACATGTTTTCAAGGTTGATAATAATAAAGCACCAAATCAGCATATTAGAATGATTTCTGAATGACCATGTAACACTGAATACTGGAGTAACCGTAACCATCATTTAAAAAATACATTAATTTATATGTAGCCTAATACAATTTATTAGAGTAGAAAATTATCAGTTTAAATTATATTTCATAATATTACTGCGTTGTTGCTGTTTCTAATCAAATAGGCTACATGCAGTTTTGGTGAGCATAAGAGACTTCAAAAACATTTTTAAAAATCTTATCAACCCCAAACCTTTGAACAGCAGTCTATATGGATAGTTATTTTAGATATAGCCAACAAATATTTTTAATTTGGAGCAAAGCTTATTTACTTTTTCTGTGACCACGGGTTTCTTCACTTTGTTTATTTAGCCAATAATCACATTTTACAGTGTGCACTGTGTTTGAGACCATTGAACTTTAGTGATAACCAGCTGTTGAGTTTCGGGGTGTAAAATCCAAAAGCGAGACATGCACACAAGAGAGGAGGGCAAACAGAGCCTATAAATGACCCACTGCTACTTTTAACAGCACATTTTATGTCACACTGCTGCAATCTCGCTCTCCATGGAAAAACTTGCTCAGCTCACGAAACAGCTCGAGAAATCAACAAAGCCTGTTTATTTTTCATAATTTTGCAGCCGATGCTGAACACATTTTGAAAACTACATAAAGCAGAGAAACACATAAGAAAAAGCTTTTGGATCATTTTGATTTTGGCGTCTTTATAATCTAAAGCAGCCATGGATCCGGTTATTGAAGTCGTTGCTTTATTTCTTGGCTTTGTGAGTTGGATAATGGTTGGCATTGCAATTCCGAACCGTTACTGGAAAGTATCCTCAATAGATGGGACTGTGATCACCACCTCAACCCTTTACGAGAATCTGTGGATGTCCTGCGCCACGGACTCGCTGGGAGTGCACAACTGCCGTGAATTCCCCTCTCTGCTCGCCCTGTCTGGTATAGCTACGACAAAAACCACCATACTTTAATCATCATAGTTGAAGCAACTTGATAGACACCACTGTAAATAAGTTTATTTTTGGCGGAATCTTTGGTTACCATTTCCCCCCTCGCTGATTAGCATGGGATTTGGAATAATTTAAAGCAAATCTTTTCTTTTCTTTCTTTGTCAGTCTTATTTATGTCTTACATAGGCTATATATATATACATATATAATATACAGTGTTGTTATCTATCTATCCAGTAATTATTTTGACTTTCTTTTGTTCTTTCCTTCTTTATCCTTTCAACTGTTTTATATATTTGTTTTAATTTTTGTTTATTTGCTTACTGCTATTTACATTTTCCTTTGTCATTTATTTATTCATCAATCAGTCCAGTAGGCTAATTCTTTTCAATTAATTTGACTTTCCTTCGTTCTTTCTTTTTATTTATTTAATTATCCTTTCATTATTTTATTTGTATTTATTTATTAGTTTAGCCTACTGCTATTTATCATTTAGGCCTATGTATTTTTTTTTGTCAACTTTTATTTATTTACTTACTCAGTCTAATAATAATTTTTGTTACGGGGCTGACAAGATGTGAGACATGCGGATCCATGTGCAAGCTTTATTAAAGCAGAGAGGTCAGAAACACAGGCAGGGTCAAACAAAAGGCAAACAGGTATATGGCGGGCAAGACACAAGAATAATCCTAGGGCTAGCGAAGGTCAACGAACAGCGAACAGAATCAAAAGGGCAAGACTAAAGGGATAAATCCAGGAAAACAGGCAAAGATCAGAAACCGAGAAAACAGACAAGCTAACGAGGGCTCTGTAGAGTAGCTATCACTGCTGGCGATAAGCGCATACAATACTCGGCAGTTAGAAGGAGTGAGATGGAGTGTTAAATAGTGAGTGAGTGATATGAAACAGCTGTGTGCAATCAGTGCTGTGTGCAATCAGTGCAATGAATGATGGGATATGTAGTCCGGGGTGATATGCAACAGTGTGTAGTGCGATAGTCAATGAAAATGGAAAGGGTGACCTCTGATGGCTAGCAGACGGAAGTTCATGGACCGGATACGTAACAGAGCCCCCTCCCCCCAAGGAGCGGCTTCCAGACGCTCCAAAACACTTTACGATTCCGGAGGGCGGTGGAGTGGAGGCGGAACAGGGGGAGGGATGGAGGGCCAGGTCCACATGGAAGTGGAGAGACCGAGAACTGAGGCAGAACCAGCAGAGCAGAGAGCCAGGGTGGAGCCGGCCATACAGGTGGAGCAGGGAACCACCAGAGCCAGACAGTAGACCACCACGGTGGGGCAGAAGACCACCACGGCGAAGCAGAGGACCACCACGGCGGAGCAGAGGACCACCAGAGCCAGACAGTAGACCACCACGGCGGGACAGAGAACCACCACGGCGGAGCAGAGGACCACCAGATACTAGACTGGGATACCGAAGGGCTGACCTTGAGAATCTGGGTGTAACAGACAGGACGTGACATGACTCTGGATGATCAGCTGTGATGCGACATGATTCTGGATGAATAACTGAGGCGTGACGAGGCACTGGCAGATCAGATGAGACTCGACTAGACTCATGACGATCAACTGTGACTCGACTGAACTCAGGAAGAACAACTGTGACTCGACTGAACTCAGGAAGAACAACTGTGACTCGACTGAACAACCGTGACTCGACCCGACTCAGGAAGAACAACCGTGACTCGCACCGACCCAGGAAGAACAACCGTGACTCGACCCGACTCAGGAAGAACAACCGTGACTCGACCCGACTCAGGAAGAACAACCGTGACTCGACCCGACTCAGGAAGAACAACCGTGACTCGACCCGATTCAGGAAGATCAACCGTGACTAGACCCAACAAGGCCCGACTGTAACAACGTTTGTAGGTCGGGAAGAAGGAGGTGGGAACCGGCGAACATTTAAACAAACTTTAATAATAAAATAAACTCAAAAACAGCGCGACAGCCCCTCGCGGACGACTGTCGCGCACCAATAAAACCAAAACACAAAATAAAATCCAGGCCTGGTCCTCTCTCGTCTTTCACTGTCTTCACTCCTCCTTTGTATCCTTCCGGAGCTCCTCCGTGAGACTCGAGACCGGTGAGTGGTGCAGGTGTCGCGCATTAGCAATTACTCCACCGGCCTCGCTCCGTTCCCACGGCTCTCAGCCCCGCCCCTCTCGTCACACCGACTCAGGAAGATCAACCGTGACTAGACCCGACTCAGGAAGATCAACCGTGACTAGACCTGACTCATGACAATCAACTGTGACCTGACTTGACTCATGACGAGCAGCTGTGACATAATGGGGTGCGGTTGCGTCCGCCATTTTGCGATCAAACTCCGCTGTCGCCACCATTTTGTGAGCATGCTCTAGTGTGGCCGCCATTACACAAGCGGACTCTGAGTCGTGTTTCTCTGCAACCCCCACCGTGAACACGGAGTCGACACACAGCAGAGCAAAATCCAAAAAATTGCTTAGAGAAGAACGGGGACCCTCATGGATTAATCGTGACCTTAAGGGTTCATTTACTCCATCACAAAAAAAGTCTATTAGCATACAGTCTGGCAAATCAGAATGACACGCAATGTCCAGATACTCTTGAATATAGCCTTCAAGCGGGCGTGTACCCTGCTTTAAGGCTAATAATAGTTTGGCAGTGTCCATACCTGGCCAATGTCCACGGGAAAAGCTGCTGGATCCTTGTGTGGCCAAGTATTCTGTTACGGGGCTGATGAGACGTGAGACATGCGGATCCATGTGCAAGCTTTATTAAAGCAGAGAGGTCAGAAACACAGGCAGGGTCGAACAAAGGCAAACAGGTATATGGCGGGCAAGACACAAGAATAATCCTAGGGCTAGCGAAGGTCAACGAATAGCAAACAGAATCAAACGGGCAAGACTAAAGGGATAAATCCAGGAAAACAGGCAAAGATCAGAAACTGAGAGGCAAGGCAAGGCTAACGAGGGCTCTGTAGAGTAGCTATCACTGCTGGCGATAAGCGCATACAATACTCGGCAGTTAGAAGGAGTGAGATGGAGTGTTAAATTGTGAGTGAGTGATATGAAACAGCTGTGTGCAATCAGTGCTGTGTGCAATCAGTGCAATGAATGATGGGATATGTAGTCCGGGGTGATATGTAACAGTGTGTAGTGCGAGAGTCAATGAAAATGGAAAGGGTGACCTCTGATGGCTAGCAGACGGAAGTTCATGGACCGGATACGTAACAATTTTTATATCAGTTTGACTTTCTTTCTTTATGCTGTTTATTTTGTGCGGTAATTATTTTATATATAATCCTATATATTTTATATTCTTTTTTCAATACTGTATTCAGATCTTTTAGTATGTTTATTAATATTGCATTGTAATGATAAATATTTGTGTTTCCTCAGGTTATATCCAGGCGTCTCGCGCTCTTATGATCGCGGCAGTGGTGTCTGGCACATTCGGAGTGGTGGCCACCCTCATCGGCACACCTGCTGCTCTCCTGCCATCATCCCTAGGTCAGTCTGAAACTCTCTGCACACTACAAAATCTCCATAACAATTACCTGCAATCGCTGGAACCACCTGCACTCTCACCAGTGAGAGTCTAACCCGGCTGTTCCACATCGTGGGTACCAAAGATAGCCTACTGGCTAACAGCATCAACAAAAACATCCTACCCGGACTAACTCACTTCAGGATGACAGGTGACACAGCCTCGACACCTGCTGCATAAGCTCGAGGACCCACACCTTGCTACAGCCTACATCACCACAGCCCCCCCCCTGACAGCATCC